CCTTTGGAAGAAAAGTTAAAATGTCACACCTAAGGGCCAAAAAGAAATTATATTAGAGGGATATGAGAATGTCAAACTAAAATTTTATCTTTTTTGGTAGGAATAACATGTCACTATTCACCAAATATAACATGTGATTCCTGAAGGATGATCAGGAATCTCACCTGAAACATTGTGACCAACCTGTAGGGTCTAACTATTGTGTGTGATGAAAAATAGAGTGGAGCACTTTATATACTTACATATTTAATGATGGTTAATCAAGAGGGAAAATTGTATAAATGTATTTACAATTCAATTCACTCTACATTTTCCCTATCACTTTAAAAACCCACATAATTTCATGTTTACATTCACACCTTCTCCATATAAAAAACTCAAGACTCAGCGTCCTATATTTTGTTTTATAAACTCGTTTTTGTTTCTTATATAAACCTCTGTAACTAATGATAAATGACACCCTCATCCCAAACACAGGTTATATCTACATACATTACTGTTTATTAATTTATAGAAAAAATTCAATGAGTGAATGAATGAACAATAAAATTCACTCTATCTTGATTCTCCTTCACCTTAAAACACACACAATGGGGCCTTCCCTGGTGGCTCAGTGGGTTAAAGCACCGCATTATGAAGCTCTCCAAAACCACTGCAGCACAAGTTCGATCCTCCTCTAGGGCGGTGACACACATGGCTGTGGCAGACCTCTCCTGACCTGCCTACTACTCCCCTCAGCAGTGTATTTCAGTCTGTCTGCCTGTTCTGCTCCCCACTCTGTCTCTGGTGATCCTCTCAACACCACACCTCTGGCCTGTAACCCAGTTCTGTAAGCATAAATAAATAAATCTTTTTAAAAATAATTAAAAAAAATCCCACACACTGTTGTTTTTACATTCATTCTTTCTCAATGTATAAAACTCAAACGTCAGTGTCCAACACCTCCTTGTCCACATTCATTTTTCTTTCTTATAGAAATCCCTGTAAATAATGATAAGTAATAACTGTATGACCAGAGGGCATTGGCAACAATATGAATGAAGCATGAAGTGTAGAGATTATGCAGGTTACATATTTTGAAATAAAGTGACTTAAAAATATGAAATTGAGTATCCTCATTTCCATACAGAGATCCAGCCAGCATTAAGCATGTGAATGCCGTCTATAGCCTCTCTCAGTGGAGACATTCTGTACTCCCCAGAGGCAAGAGGATGGGGACACAGGGGCAGAGGGGTGGTCAGGAGGTGACTGCTCCTCAACCCTTACTCCCAAGAGAGGGAACCTTCCTAGCATCATTAATCCACCCTGAGGCGGTCTTGGTTACCATCTGATGAACAGGTCATTGAGTTTATAAATGTAATAAGAAATGAAGCATTAAGTCCTCATCATGATCAAGACACTATTTCCTAGGAACCATTTCTGTTGATTTAAGTAAAGTATGAATTCATGGAAGACAATCTATAACTGGGTTACTTTATAATTACAACCACAAGTTTAAAGGACCTAGCACCTTATTCTGTATAAAAGAGATGCTCCGGTGCTCAGTGATTTCTCCACACTATGAAACAGGTGAGTAGTGATTATTTTAGCCTGCGTATTCTATTAGAGTGTATTTTTTTCTCTCCATAATCAAGTCGTTGAAAATAGTTTCCATTTGCCAATTTCATTTGTCAGAATCATCTTATGAACATGAACAACATACTGTTAGTAATCAGCCTTTAATTTTTATACAGTAAAGAATATATAAAATGGAGATGAAATCAACTTGCTGTTTGAAGTTTTTTTAAACTTAATCTTGCTCATGTTTTTCAGAATATTGCATTCAAAATCATTCCTCATTGAATGTTTTGTAAAAACCATTGAATTGTGATTCAGAATGTGGAGTCTGCATTGTGCTGCTGCATTTGAAGTCACCAGGGTCAGACATTAACTTCCTGACACCAGCAGGTTATTTAACTTCTCGATGCAAAATATGAACACTAACAGTACCTACAGAATTTCAGATACATGAATAAGGAAATACAGGTAAAGCATTAACAACACAGTTAAAATAAGTGTTCAAAAATTGCCAATTTTAATAAAAAACTTTCAAACAACCAGGCTACCTACATATATCAGCTTTGCCAATTCCTGTTAAGAAAGAAAATTGACGAAGGGTAATCCACCTCCCATGTTAAAATTGCCAAAGTTCCTCTGATATTTAATGAAAAAATTCGACTCATTTTAGAAAATAATTAAGCAGTGTTAGTTGGGACATGCTTTCATGGGACATGCTTTCATATATTAAGTAAGATTTGAGTTAGACTTGGACTTAAATTTTATTTCTGTTTCTATAGAATATGTGTGTTACTCTTAGATGCTCAAAACTCAAGAAACTGGTACAGAAGTTACCTCCAGCTACTGGTGCTGGTTTGTATCGCTGAGCATGGAACTGTCAATATTTTTAAGTTCAATGTTCCTGCCACAATCCTACTGTGATGCATCTACTCCATGGCTGGTTAAAAGATGAACATACTTCAAGTTAAAACAGAAAGGATATAAGTTAAAATAATCATGAGAAATGCAACGAGGAGGATCATGATCACATAACAGTGCTGAATTGAACTAAAACTGCATCTCTTAAGCCAGCCTGTTTGATTATGCTTCCTACCTCTCAAAATAACTGCCTGAATTACATGTTTTTGTCACAGTGTTTATTATCAACAATAACAGCAAAAAATCAAGCTCTGATAATTAGAATATGAACATATTGCCAAAATATATAAATTTTTACTTAGGTAGCTCAGCATCAGTGATTTGGCCAGTGAGGTCTTTAGCTAACGAGGACAAGATTGTTGAGTCAGTGGGAAATTATTTCCACTACCTGTCAGCAGAAGTTGACAAACCACTTACTATATAACACATATTTTGTGTTATTGGACTGAATGAGGATATGAGGCCTGTTTTTTGGCTTGATTTTGTAAGTGATTTTTATTCTTTTTCTTTAAAATTGAAAATAACAGCATGATTTCAGATAGCCTGATCTCTGGCAAAATCTCAAATTGGATGTCTTTTCCTTCTGATTATGGCACTCCTGTGAGACCAGGTAATTCTCTGCACAGAGAACTTCATTTTCTAGGGTGACATCTGACTTCTCCATCTGACTTTACTACCAGTCTGTAAACTCTGTAAAAATACAACTGAAGTAATATTATTTACAATTAGTATCCTTAGCATTTGACACACTAGTATTTATCATGCACTTAATATTTATCCATAATAAACTGCTGCAATATCTACAAATATATATTAATTATCTGATACATTATACCATATTTTGAGTCAATGAAAATTCAATTCTCTTTGACTCAGTCTTTTCTTATAAGTATAGCTTCTGAAAGAAAAAAAAACACACCTTTAGGAGAGTGATATAGTGATATAAGTCTTCAAAGTTTGAGAAGGTTCAATGTGAGGAAATAGCTACTAAATTGTGAATCAGAAAAAATAAAGGCACAGAGAAACAGAGATGCACAGAGATCCAAAAGCAGGCAGCGGAACCCACTGGGTTTCAGTTTACTGAACATATTCTTCAACTCTAAATCATCATCGGCCCTTGAGCTCTTCTATTCAGAAGGTATCAGCTACGAGGGAACGTTCATGTTGAGGGTGAGCTGTGAGAAACTAAAGACAGAATTCAGGATTCTTTACTGAGAAGGAAGAAATTAAGAATGAAAGAGAATTAAGAAACAACATTTGGAAATTGTATATTGTTTCATTGGTTTGGATTTGTGGGCAGGAAGAGGAGTTTTGTGGAAGAGACAGAAGGAGTATTCCACAGAACTGAAGGAGAAGCTGGTCAGGGAAATGACCCTAGTTCCAAACACATGGCAATGGGGGTTTCATATTATGTGACAATCTGTGAAAAATGTCAGCAATATATATGAACAGACACATAAATACTGGATGGAAATGACAAAAACTAAAATCTAGGTTTCAGAAGAGTGCAGCAATTGCTGAACATAATTGGATTTAAAGATGCTTATAGTTAGAGCTTAGTAGGTTACGCTTAAATTGCATTTAGCAGCGTTTCTAAATTCATATATAGCTATTCAAAGTATGTATTATACACAGCACACATCATAATTCATCTGTTATGTAGCATATATTCTGTATGCTGTGTTAATACTAAATGGTAGAACATATCCAAACTTTTATTAAGGACATAAGTAAGTTAAACAATTGTTTTACTTAATCTGGTGTCATATGTGAACTCTGATCAAATGTTCATTTTCCTTTCGTTGTCTAATTATCCCCTGCAAGGATAAGCTTATCTAATTACTACTAAAGTAAAATTTGGAATGTGTTCACTAATGAAAACATTCCGTACAACCATAGAGTTAAGGAAACATTATAACAAAGTCTTACTGCACATTCTAGATTTACTGCCCCACATGACTTGCTAAGGTGCATCATGTCTGAGAAATGGCCAGGTGGGCTGACATGGACCAGTCCGTGGAGACTCACTGACCACCTGCCCGTGGGCTGCCTGAAAGAGACTCACAGGAGAAACATCAAAGTAATGTGCAAGAATCATATGCACAGATTCTAAATTAGAAGTTGTCACTCAGAAAAATAAAAAAGAAAGAACAAGCAAAATGACCAAATTAATAATGATTAATAATCAGGATCTTCAGATTAGAAGAAATCCCAGGCTACCTAGAGCTGTTTGAGAATAGTTTCCTGGCATGAATTGTTCTTATTTTTTGTCATCTTTTTTGCAGTATTTGTGACACATCTGTAATTATTAACATGAGCAGGAGGAAAAGAATATCTCTTTTTACAAGTTGTAATTTTAGGATGTTGGATTTGAAATGTATTTATAAAAGTATAAAGCAAGCATGAAAACTGGATATCAATTCTGTGCCAGCGATTTGAAAGCAATGATTTTAATACAGCCCACATTTCAGCTTGAACCAAAGGACTGATTATAGTTTTAAGCCTTGAAAACATTTTATTTATAGATGGAATGCAAAGGACAAATTTCCCCTCAGGGGAACCATACTACACTGGTGGAATTCATCCTGATTGGGTTTTCTGATGTTCCCAAACTTCAAGGATTACTTTTTGGTATATTTCTTATACTATACATTATTATTCTTATGGGAAATAGCCTCATTATCATGATAACTAAGGTTGATCCTTCCCTCCAGACCCCCATGTATTTCTTCCTTCGGAATTTTTCCCTTTTGGAAATGTGTTATGTGTCAGTCACTGTCCCCAGATTATTAACTGATCTCTGTAAACAGTATGGAAATATTTCCTTTCTGGCTTGTGCAGTTCAAATGTATATCTTTCTGATCCTGGGAGACACTGAGTGCTTCATCCTCACTGCCATGGCTTATGACAGGTATGTGGCCATTTGCAACCCACTACTCTACCCTGTCATCATGAACAGTAGGCTGTGTATACAGCTGGTACTTGTCTGCTGGACCACGGCAATTCCAGTCCATATAGGATTCACCTCTGTGGTCTTTACTTCTCCCTTCTGTGGATGTAACCAGATGAACCACTTTTTCTGTGATGCACCTCCAGTTGTTCAGCTTGTTTGTGGGGACACTTTTATGATTGAGATGTTGACTTATGTGATTGCTACCATAGTTGTTGCTGTGCCTTTTTTGTTGATACTTATATCTTATGTGAAAATAATCT